GCAGTAAATCCTGTGAAGCGCTTCGAGACCCCATCCTGATGTGAAAGGAGCTACCAAATTCAATCATTATTATTATTATAATAAATGGCTAAGAAATTATGCTACATGAAGGGAAATCAAATATCATAACTGTAATAAACTTGCTAAGTGCAAGACCATAAAACTGCAGTAAAAGATACTTTGTTAGGTAAAACAGCACCGTCAAACTCAAAGTGTACTTTGAAACCATTTGAGTACAAAAATGGGATCAGTTTTATAGAGTTTTTAATGCTTCTGTTTGAGAATTATAAATTGGTCACGTGCTTGCTTACTTCTTCTAATTTGACATGTTAAGTGTCCTCAATACCTTGTGTGTGGCTTCAGCAGGTACAGATTTATTTGCTTTAAAACAACGTCGTATCAAAAGTGTATTCAAGAAATGTTAAGAAGCAACAGCATTTTGATCAAGATTTTGATGCATTGCTGTCTGGAGACGTGATTGAAGGTTTAGTCATTAAAGTGGTGAGGTAAATAGTTTAAAATCTGTATGAACCGCACTGCACATTTATAGAGTCAGGCGACTTAAGAATTAGTTAGTGTGGCTTTACTCTTCCCTTATACTGTGTATTTAGGCTGCAAATCCCTACGATTTTGCCAATGATTCACCAGCAACAAACAGCTCAATTTCTAATGGTACCATTCCTGACAGTGAGTGATGAAATAGCTTCGGCAGTGATACAGTTGTCACCTGTGTTTCTGGTGCGAATAGTGCTAAAGTTCTTCCCTCATATTCCATTCACAGCGCTTAACTCATCCATTTAAAGAAGTGTATGCAATTAATAAATGGAACATGAGCGCAGTCAATAGCACGATTCCACAATAAGATGTTCTGAATGATAGTTATATAACGTCAGATGACAAAAGTAGTGCAAGTAAATCAATAATAAATGAAAGAACAGTCCTGTGAGCAACGATACAAATTCTTCTACAAGGATACTTGCTTAAAAATGCATCATTTCATGTTTAAAATAGTCTGTGGAACTGCAGCAATATGCATTTTCTAAACAACATAGAAAGCTAAGGTTATTCAATAATGTACGTCTGTGTCAATTATTGTGGATTTGCAATTTGAGGTCTGGTGTACAATTGTGGCCATTTGAATCGACAAAAAATTGCATTAAACAGTTCAATATAATAAACAGCAAATGCCTTGTGCACCTGACTAGAAAAATATTTAGAATTTGGTGAATTTTATTTTTCACTATCTATGTAATCTCTTCCCAATTTCAGTCCTCTGCTCGGCTAACTCTCCTCCACTCTCCCCCACCGCCGCCCCAAGCTATGCTTGGGGCCAAATCTTCAACTGCTCTGTTTGCAACCTCTGGAACTTCCATCTTCTTCCACTCCATCTCACTCACTTCATCTTTAAATCCCACCTGAAAATCTCCCTCTTCATCTCACCCTTCCCCCCCATCCACCCTCCCTCTCTTACTCAGTATCCGATCTGATTATTAAGCTCTCATTATTAAGCTCTCCAAGACTTTATCCCATGTGAAGAGTACATTGCACATTGTTGGATAAAATAAATTTAACATATGAATTATTGCTGCTTGAAGCTTTACAGAAAGTTTACTTAAGCTTTCGCTCTTGCATCACAGGAAACGTTTGGTTCTTTTCTTGTCGGGAAGGATCCTCAGCTTCAAACTGTTAACCTGGACCCCCATACTGGAGGCAGTGGGATGGGTTTGGGGGTGGGAGGGGGAGAGAAAGGTGGCCACAGTGCAATAAAAGCAATAGGTCTTAAGATGGGGACAGAGGGGGCAAGGCAGAGGATCTCTTGGTTGGAGTTTCAGAGAGCAGGGTCAGAATAGCTGAAATCTCACCATCTCATGGTGGGCTAGATTGGGTGGGGGGCATGGCACAAGCCAGTGTGTATTTTGCGGAGGTAGTGGCCAGGACTGCAGGAGGTCACAGTGGTATGGTGGGAGCAACGCCACAGAGGGGTTTGAAAGTGAGAACGAGGATCTTAATCGTAACGTCTTGGGGAATGGGGATGGATCCAGTGGAGCCAAGCAAGGATGGGGATTCACAGGGTGTGGTGTGGGAGAGGACGTGAGCTGCAGAGTTCTGGAATGGGGAGCTTGGCGAGCAGGGCGTTGGAATAATCAAAGGGTTATAAGGTGCTGCAGTCATCTGGCAATACATCAGTCCCTCAAGGTTACCTTGGGATCATCCTGGATGAGAGATGAGCTGGATAGAATGACAGCCTTTCCTTGTTCCTGCATTCTCATTCTCATCAATATTATAAGAACGTATTTGGGCTTTGCTTTAATAGTGAAAATATGATTCCAATATGAATAGTGCCCGTCATTTACCTATGCAATTTACGTTAATGGTTATGTGTTTCCCTTTTTATTGAGCATATGTTGGGTAGTCAGTCAATCCCTTAGTGACAGCGCTGTTGGACAAATGATATTTACAACATTCTTGTTGAAGTCATCAGATCTGGATTTCACAGATAATGCAGTGCAACTCATACCAGTGAAATGGAAAAAAACACACGAAAGTGAAAAAGTGGCTGTAAATACAAAGTAAATAGAATTTCATTACAACATCTGAAGTAATCGGATGGTGGATGGAATGAAGCCAATGTTGACTTCAGTGGTGAGAGGATCTGATCAACCACTTGCAGTATTCTGAATATCTGCAATTGTCCAGTGATTTAAATTGCTTTAAAAATTGCCAAAGCTTTTTAAAAACTGGTGGAATTATCAGGGATACAGGATCAGGTTTCATGTATCTCGTATTTACCAAAGACACCATTTATAAGGCAGTATGACCCTAATACATGGTGTAGAAAATTGGAAATCTATTGCAGACTACTGATAAAAATATAAGTAATTGCTGAGTGTCAGCAAGTATTCAATATATAACTAAGACAGGTTAGGAACTGAACTTCAGCATCGGCAGCCATCGATGATGGAACATGGTCTTATAAAATACCTGTGCGATGCCTCTATAAATGGCTCCCCAATGAGAGCCAAAGGAAAGTAACTAGCACCACACAGAACAAGATGATCAGAAGCAGTTAACGTGGACCTGAAACAACTTACTCAATAGTATACCGATGAAAACAATCAACTGGGAGGAGTAGAAGCCATCTCTCAAACATGCTCAAAGATGCTTAATTCCTTACAGCAGCATTTTTTTTAAAACACTTGAAGGCAAGAACTCACACTGTATGCCAAATGATTGGTCAGCATGGATCATTACTTGCAAAGAATAAAGAATATGGTAAATCTTTTAATCGAGACTTTGCAATGGATGTCAAACACTTTTATATAGATTATTGCTTCTATCTCCTCTTAGATTTGGTTGACAGAGCAGCGAGCTACATTTCCTAGATGTGTGGACTTTTAAGAGGGGAACATAAGAACATAGGAATTAGGAGCAGGAGTAGGCCATTCGGCCCCTCGAGCCTACCCTGCCTTTCAATAAGATCATGGTTGATCTTCTAACCTAACTCCATCTGCCCGCCTTATCCCCATATCTCTTAATCCCCCTATCCTTTAGAAACCTATCAACCTCAGTCTTGAATATGTTCAAGAGGACTGAGCATCTACAGAATTCTCTATGGGGTAGAGAATTCCATAAATTCACTACCCGTTGAGTGAAGAAGTGTTTCCTCAACTCTGTTCGAAAGGGCTGTCCCTTAATCTTAAGACTGTGACCCCAAGTTCTAGATTCTCCTACCAGGGGGGAAATAGTCTTGCACTGTCTACTCTGTCAAGCCCCATAAGAATCTTATATATTTCTATAAGATCATTTAGTAACACCTAATTAAGTCTGACTGTTTCTCCGAGGACTAAATGAATTAATCAAGATTGTGAAAATGAATTAGAAGTTGTCAGCATCTGAAATTGGATCTGAGGCAGTTTCTAAATTTCACTTCCTTTTATCATCAATAATATTCTCCTCACCACATTAAAATTCTCATTGATAATTTGCTCTTCTGCTCGTATTCAGCTCGTATTTACACGTTATGTAGATTTCCATTTGGTTTCAGTTCATATTTTGTCTCCCTTCAACTTCTGTCTTACGTTTTTTCCTGGAACTTTGTTCTTCTGTACAAAAGAAATCTCCTTCGAATTTCTTTGCCTAGTTTTCTGAAGGATCCTGTTTGGTACCCTGGTTGAGATAAGTTAACGCAGCAGAGTTGAGATGGTTTGAGAGTTGCAACTCATTCTTTAACATTGGGGAAGTGTCATTTTTTTTGTTGTCATTGCAAATAGAGCTTTTATTTGGGAAGCTAAGCTTTAGTGCTGAACTTGCTCCGAACAGACAAGACAAAAACAATTGAAAATTTCAAATCGACAAATTAAGTTTGTGTCAAAATTTTGGGGGCATTCAGAATGTTGCTTGAGATATAATCATATTATCCCCTGGAAGGGAGTGGGGGGAGATTCCCTTCCTAGATCAGTGATATATATTGAGTGCATCTTAGTGATGATAAGGTGCTATATCAAATGCAAGGATTATTTATGTAGTAGTAGTATGTGATAAGTATTACTGGTGATAATATTACAGTCTAGTTTTTCCACCGTACGACCTTTCAAATCTCGCCCATTTTGTCCTGCTATCATCAAGTAAATAGAGTTTGTTTTCTTGTCCTGAGTGGTTATGCTGAACAGGATCAGACTATATCAGTAGCGTTAAAAGATAAATGGGTTCATAAGATGGATAAAAAGGTTTTGCGTCCTACAAGTAACTATCATCTGAAGAAACTCTCAATGTACAAAATGCACTGCGAACACAAAACACCCACAGGTAATGTTCCTGGTGTTAGCAACAGCATGCATTGATACTGTGCTATTCCTGTAGGATAATGTCTGAGTGCTTCACAAAGACAGGGACGAATGCTGGGAAGGGGAAGGAGGGGGAAATGATACGTAGATTGCAGAATAAATGGAGTACAGTATAATCATATTGATATTTATCATTGGTATTCCTTTTTCCTCCAGAAAATGTCCCAGTATTAATTCCAGAAGCAGGGAGCCTTGTATATTCCAGAATGCAACATTACAGAGACCTGTTGGACTCACTTCCTATGGACGCCTACACTCACGGCTGCATTCTGCACCCAGAATTGACGACAGACTCCATGATCCCAAAGTATGCCACTGCTGAGATCCGAAGTAAGTTGACACACAGATAGTTCATCATGTAAAATGATTCTGCTACGCAGCAAGCAACATTGAGACATCGACCAACAACAAGTTGCATTCATACAGCGCCCTTCACCTGGTGTAGCGTCCCGGAGTGCATTAAACATAAGGAAAAGTTCCCTTCATAAAATATGCACAAAGACCAAAAGACCTTTTGACTGGTATCAAGCAGATGCATGTGTGAAAACTCTTTTATTTCATATTTTATTTAATGTTTTATATTTGCATTTTGCCCACAAATATACAGTCAATGCACTTTACAGTATATTCTGTGAAGGGCTTTGAGACGTCTAGAAGACGTGAAAAGCGCTGTATCAAATGCAAGGATTATTATTATTATTTTTATTATTGTTTATTTACTGTATGTGGCAGTGACCTAGGCCAAAATGCTAGCTCAGCTAGCTAGCTACCTGTTGCGTAAATTAGAAATGTTCATGGTCTCACATCTTTCATTCTACTTCTATTTAAATAGTTTCAAAAGTGTTGCACTCCTCAAGGTTATTTCAGCTCACTTTGATTTACTAGCATCATGTTATACAATAATCTTGGTACTGACAGAGCTGATGATCTGAGAGACAAGGTCGAAATCAATTACATCAGAAATGTCCTGGAATGAACCCGCAATAAACCGGAAGCCAAATATCTCATAGTGACAACTCAGTATAAAGAGAGAGTACACATCTGTTTATTTATTGATATATGTCCACGTATATATTCTAAGCAACCGCCTGAGAAGCTGTCAAGATTGCTGCATGTTTTTCACAGCTTGAAAGCAAACCACATTCCTAAAGGCCAAACAATGTAATTGAATAATGTCCTCGTTTCACAACACAAACATCGGCAAGTTTCGCATGTTGCAACGCTCTATTATTCAGTCCAAGTACTTCAGCTAATAAGAGAAGCTAATCTGCCAAGACTGTAATATTAGAAGAATTGCTAATATAACAAGTATACTTGAAGTATACTTTTTTTAAATAGGACAACAAAGGGGAACAGGGTGTTTGTCCTTGGAACCAGGTCCGCAGTCTTGGAAATGCTCCAACATAGGAAACTATAGATTATAGTTTCCATTTTCTGTCTCTGGCTTTCTAACCAGCTGCCTATTCCTGGTAGCAAACTGCACGTTGGCTAATTTGATATAGTTTATCTCTATAGTCTTCTCCATACTTGATCCTAGGGGGACACTGAAGGAGCCAGACTAACCACTAGAGGATGCACTGTCCTTGTGCATATTTTGAGAAGAGAACTTTTCTTTTTTTCTCTCTCTTGTTCTGTTTTCACTGGGGCCACAAACCTTTTGCGCCTAAGAATAGGTGCAAAAGGTTTGTACGCTGTGCTTAGGCACTGTCAAGCATGCTTAGATGCTACCCTGCATGAGGGGTCCTATATAAATGCAAGTTGTTGTTGTAGTAGTGAGTCAGTTTGCTGTTCCAGTGCTATCTGCACATGTTCTCCAGAGCCAGTCACTGTTGAGTGGTGGCAACCCAGTGGTAATTCTGACTTTAATTTACACTCCTTGCTGATTGTAAGGTACCTGGCATTCACTCAGCACCTATCTATTTAACAGCATTGCTGCTGCAATCAGGCACTTAGAAAAGTATATTTCTTTGTGTCCCTTGAAACTCCTCCGCATCTAATAGAAGTTTTAAGTTCTTATGAGAAATCGTTTAAATTCACAGGTGAACACTGAGCAAGAGGATAAATCTAGCGTTCGTTAAGCGTCAAAAAAGATAGAATTTTAGGAGATTTGTTTTAAAAGCCGGGAAAAAGGTAGCAATCAGCTTTGATGGATTCAAGTTCTCCAAACCCAACTTCTGTAGCCTACCGAGGGTTAATTGATAGATGCAACAGACTTTTGCTTTCCTCTTTGTGTATGCAGCAGGCTAGACCATTTGCGGATGATGTGACAAGCACTGTATTGAGTGTGGGTCTGATTTGCTTCTTCTAGTGTGAAGAAGAACAAGCTGTCCCTTGAATCCTAAATGAAAGCAGAGACCAATCAATGTTAATTGATGATCAGTCATTCCTCGCACTCTCCGCCCCACCATCAGAGGTCACCATCAGTCACTACGCCCCAAAACTCTGCCTCAGTCCCCCCGCCTTACCCCCTCTCTCCCCTTTTTCAAGTGCCGCCAGGAAAAATTTCCACTTCGACCGTGCTTACGGCCACCTTTCACCCCCCCCCCCACCTCACACCGCCTCGGAGTCAGGCTCCGCCACGGTTAAGCGCTCTGAGAGGCTACCCTGCGTGGAGGATGCTGTATAAGTTGGAAGTTGTTATTGTTGATGTGTCAGATACCTGTTAATTCATTTATTTATTTTTATGTAATAAGGTTATGCTGTGGCCCGGATGCACATTGGCTCAGAAAGTGATGTGGCAGCTTCAATGCAACTTTCCATCACGGCTCGTCCCACTGCATGGGTGAAATTCACATCCCTCGTTCAGAAGAATTTAGCGCCCCGACAAACTTGCACAAGAGAGTAGAGAGGCTAAAATAGTTTTTTTCCCTTTCTCATGTTACTCTGTCAATCAATTGAGTGAACTTCAAACATCACAACATGAATTACAGCTTGTAACATAATTTTCAAAAAGCTAGGTGACCTGATTGTGTGAGTTAGTAAGTTACCCTGAAAAGAATCTTTGGGTTAACAAATTAAACTAATGTCGTGCCCATCAACTGAAGGATTTTGCTGATGATTGGGTGTGTGTTGAGAGTTGTCATGCACTTTATAATTGACGGATTCATATCCAAACTTGGGTATGAAATGATGATATTTATTTCTCTGTCTTTCTCTCTTTCTAACAGGACATTTAGCAAACACAGCAGCCGAGTTAATGAAGCTTAACGAAGAACAACCTAAACTCACAGAGCCATATGTTTCGAAACAAAAGAAGCTAATGGTAATGCAAACCTATACAACTATGATTCTACATTGGATCTGTTCACTTGCTACATTAGGCTGAAGTACTATTGCAAACATTGCTAATAGACTTTCAATGGGATTATGGGATTTCCTTCCAGATCAATTGAGGATTATGAAAACAGAATAAGGAGAGATTAAGATCTCCTTTTTTTCCCCCTTTCCATGATTTCCCTGTCTCTGCGAAACAGTTCCAACCCAACAATCAGTTCCCCCAAAAGTAGTAATAACAGAAGTTAGCAAAATATGGATATGGCTTATCAAATATCAATGTCTTAGACTTTAGAAGTGAGTCATGTTATTTGAAGGCTCATTTAGATTGTCTGGTGGTTCAAGTAATTCAAACCACCAAAATATTATATCAATATTGGTCATTCACTTTATGGTTGTTTGAGGGACACTGCTGTGGACAAATTGGCTGCCACTCTTTCTGCAAAATATCTGGCCACTATTGTTTGTAGTAAATCCTGTCAAGTGCTTCGAGACATCCTCACGACGTGAAAAGAGCAAGGATGGTTAGATAAATTGTAAATGGTAAGACTCATTTTAAATGTGTGGAAATCCTCACCGAGAACTGCAGAGCACTTCTGCAATAGTCCCAAGATGAACATAAGGTGAAATAGATCACGATTCAACATTCAAATTGCAACTGCGATGCCATGTTAAAATAAACGTAGACCACACAGGGTAAAACCAGACTGAAAGCGTGCATCTTATGGGACGTGTGCTTTGCCTTTTTGCAATTAGAAGTGTTAAAATTTGAAACAGTTGGTCAGAAAACTTTCTGCACAAGCAAATGTCATTAAGTGCTTGGTACTTTCTTGTTTTTGCTTGTTATAATAATAATAATCCTTGCATTTGATATAGCGCCTTATCAGGTCATCGCGAGGTCTCAAAGGGCTTCGCAGAATATATTGTAAAGTGTCGTGACTGTGTATTTTGTGGGTGAAACGCAGCAGCCAATTGCGCACAGCAGTGTCCCACAAACAGTCGTAGATTGAGTGACCAAATTATTATGATTATTTTGGAGTCTTGTCTGCTTATGGACAGACTAGAATGTACATTATTTAAACTGTAGTTGCATTCTGACAGGAAGAGGTTCAATATTAGTAACAATAACTAGCTCAGCAATATTTTAGAGCACAGAGCTCCAGGGATTTATAGATGTTCAGCTTCAGTTGTAGTGTCTTTGTAGAATGCTCTGCAATTTTTAACATTAGATTTTATACATTCTTGATTCTGTTTAAAGAAGAACTTCAGCAGAAGTGATAAAAGCCAACATCACATTTTGTCAAAATCCGAAGAATTCAATTCCTTGCACATAAGTTTGTTCCAAAAATGTCTATTGATGTCATTTGACTTGATTTGCTTTAGAAACAAATACGGGTTGGAATAAGCACAGGGAAAAACTTTACTTGCAATGCTTTTGAAAGCTTATAAGTGATTTGGAACTGATTTGACTTTGCCAAGACATTAGCCTAAGAATTTTCCATTGTTTGGTAGTGATGATTCATGCATTTAGGAATTTGTCTGCATTATGCTACATACCATACCTTTTAAATATTGCTGTTTAATCTAAGAATCAAGTTGCCCATATAAGTGCATGCTGTTTTATTAAAATAAGACCATGTGTCCTTTATTATGCAGAACATTAATTGATTTGTGGTTTTTTTGCAGATTGTGATAAAAGGGCAAACCTACTGCAGCAGTAATTGTGAAATTTAAGGTTTACATTTATCATCTATCTCAATAATGTGATCAGATTGTATCCGACTACACTGTCCATTCACATTATTCTAAAAATGCAATTGAATGGATATAGGTACCAAAAGGATAAGTGAGACAATTATTTGCTATTTGAGTTAATAAAGTGAAATAAATTAACATTTTTAAAATTCCTTCCCCTCTCCTCTCCAGGCCAAGATATTGGACCATGATGATGTGAACAATCTGAAGAAAATCCTGAGCGAGTTAGGGAAGGTTTTAGATGAAGTGGAAGCACAACTTGAGCGGTGGAAACAGGAATTAGCAGGTACAGTTCTGATAAGGATGTGAATATCTGTACAACCTAAAGGGCCAAGGTTCATGGTGTGTAGCACCAACACAATAAGAACCAAAACGCTTTTCATTTCATAATCATAATGTAATCCACCTACGATAAAAGATCTGCTCTGCAGGAGATGAACCAAATGTCTGCTGAACAACCAATTCACCTCTTTCTCCTATCCCTCACCCACGACCAGCCTGGGGGAGGATGTACGAAGCTGAGAGAGTGTTATCAATTGAGAAAGGAGTTTGGATTTTTTTTTATGTACTATGAATCATACTAATGCAGTAGTTTCCACCAGTATAAATCAGCCCCGGATTTTATCTACAGTATTTCATCTCATCTTGCACAACCTGATAAGGTAATTATGCACTACAGTAAGAATATATTCCACGTCCCACAACTCATGGTTATGTATATTCCAATAGAATAGCTGATTTGATTTAATGTTTATAATCATAAAGTGTCAGCATGCGCCATATTGCATTCCAACCCTGACTGAAAAGCTCTAGATCATCAATAGAAGTTTCCATTTTCAGTGCCTGTTGTTCAAAACTTAGAACTGGAAGGGAAACTGCATTTNAAAAAAAACGGGAAGTAAATGGGACTGAATGGATTACTCTTTCAAAGAACCAGCAAGGACACAGAGGGTCGAATTAAATCCCCTTCTTCTGTGCTATAATTTTCTACGATTCTCTCAGCCTACTAAGATCTAGTTTGCATCAATGAAGAGGAAAGAACTAGATGTTCAGTGAACATATTGGAACAATTAAATCTCGAACCAGTTATGTTGTACGTATTGGATACATTTTCATGCTAAAGCATTTGAAAACAGGTTGAAAACTTGGCAATTCAAATCAAGTAGGGTTTCATCCGGGAATTGGTACAAGACTCAAGGAACTCTAGTATAAAAGTAGATTGAGTCAGTGAGTGTTACTGTGACTTACTTCTTCAATTAAGGCACCCAGTTTGAAATGACCACATTTTAGAAGCTAAATGAAATAAACCTCTAAAATCAGAACTCACGACACGTGATTTCATTCAATAGATTTTTTTTTGTTTTCTAGGACAAAAATGTGAAATGTGGCTGTGTGGATCAGTCTTTACCTTAGCAGACATTACTCTTGGAGCAACGTTACATCGCCTCAAATTCCTGGGTCTCGCAAAAAAGTACTGGGGAAACGGAAGCCGACCCAATTTGGAAGCGTACTTTGAAAGGGTGCAGAAACGTGCTGCATTCCGAAAGGTTTTAGGAGACATACACACCACATTACTGTCTGCCGTTTTGCCGAATGCATTCCGCCTTGTGAAAAGAAAACCACCTTCTTTCTTTGGGGCCTCGTTTTTAATGGGAACCCTAGGTGGAATGGGATATTTTGCTTACTGGTATCTGAAGAAAAAGTATATGTAATTCCTAAATGTAATTCTGTGGTCTGTGTAAATGTGTGATACTATGGAATGTTTAAAAAAAAACATGAATAATCTCTCCAGGTGAACTCTGTAGTACTGGTAACATTCCATGCATTAGGATGGTATATAATACTTTAACTGCCTTTTTTTTAAAAAAAACACATCTTAATTCAAGACCTCTGACACACATCTCGGGCCAGAACTACTCTAAGATTCATAAATGTCACCAGGTAGTAAAACAGTCAGAAGCAAAATCAATATAGCTTTAGAAAACTACGTTGTACCTTACCTTTAAACAGCAAGCGATCCTACGTAACTCTTTCCTGTCGGTAGAATTTAAAACCAAAACCAGTTCTGACACCTTAAAATTATTTTGAGCAATTTAATCATTTGTTTGACTGCTACCCAATTCAGCTTTAGCTGACAGGATGCACAGTATTGAGGATGATCAGATCTATAGAATCCCATTTGGAACAAACACTTATTTCCTGCTAATGTTAAAATGTTTTGATGCCACTTTGAAAGAATTTAGCGAATCATTTCAAAGCCCGGTTTGGGGGCAACACATTTTATGAAATAGCAGAAATAAATTGAGTGAAATTCGTGATGAAAAACATGGAAGTCCAAATTCATGACTGCCATTGAGGAGATAAATTAAAGTGCACTTATTCCTCCTCAAAATTGTCCCTCATATTTTCTCCTATTAGAAGGCACAATTCATACTGGGATGGATATACAGTTGTTTCACTGACAGTAGCAATCCTCCAACACCTCGTATCTCAGCCTGAATCTGCATGCAACCAATGTCTATTCATACATGTTCCAGTAAAGATCTTTGAAACAACATTCTTCATTGACAAAGTTGGTGCACAGCACTAAGGCGATTGCACCATCCAAGAATTGGCTTGACTGAATTCAGCTAACTGAGCAAAGGCCAGGGATCAAACTTCCTCAGTCTGTATGGTTATTATCACAGTATCTGGTACACAGTCATCAGAGCTATTAAGGATTTTTTTTAAAAAATGGTAAGTGCAAAGGACACACTTGCTGGCCTCTGATAGTTGCTATACTTTGCAAGTGGCTATTCCATTAATAGGCCCCTTTCATTTACAAAATGGTTGAATTGTGATTTCTGTTTTGCTAAGAGCTAACTACACACTTACAGTAACAAAGCAGCTTAGACGAATCCACTTCACTAGCTCCAGACCAGGTTTTGAGTCGACGCAAAAATCTAAAAGCTGTTATGCAATAGTAACACGCCAACACAAGCCAATGAAACTGAAATGTATCTGAACCAACCCACACATAAAACTGGTTAATAATAACCAGGTGTTGAGTTCCTCTGGATCATCATTTAATCACTGTATCAAGCGAGAATAGATTTATGTAGAACAAGCTTCACATAAGACCAGAAGGCAGAAATGGAGACAGCAGATAAGAGGGAATAGGGAATACTAACAAGCCATTAATATGTGGATCATTAGTTAGATGTCATTGTATCCACAAACCATCATTACTTTAGCCAACTACTTAGTTGAAGGTGGTTGTACAAAGGAACAAGCTCGAGATGGAATAAAGCTCAGCTAATCAGAAGCTCTGTGTATATTCAATTTTTCGAAAAACACATTGTGTTCTACCTCACGTCCATAAATCTGGTTCACTGAAATAGATTTCCATAGCAGAAGCAAATAGAGAGAGTCCACAGGTTGTACTGTAAAACAAATCATTTAAATTTTCTTAAAACAATCAAGACAAATCACTGCATCTGCTCAGTTCAATTTCAATGCAAATATCAGTACACACAAACAGGAACCAGGCCTTTTTGGCCTCACTGTTTACATCAGGATTCTAGCTTGATCACTCAAGATTCCTGACCACAATAGCAGCCTTAAGACTACACTGTTATCAAAATCAATACCAGCTCCAATATTTATTGAAAACTGTTTGCTCTACCAAAATATGCTTGTGATTAATATTCACCAAAGTGGACATTTTGCAAATATGTCAGTTATTGGTTTCAATGCCTCCCTTTCCTTTGGAGAATCCAGGTCCAAACAAGTTTAAATGTGCTTTGAACACTAAAAGATTTGTTTAAAAATATCCTTTATAAATTTAGGGAGTCCAAGTCTAAAATTTGTCTTTGCTCAAATACAAGATTTTTTTTTATAAATGGAAAATGCATTTCCACTGTATGAGCTGTTTGAATTTAAAAGATGCATTAGTTTTCAACGTTCTTACATTGTTTTTTGAACTGTGGTTGGAGACTTTTACAAAAGCATACCACGTGCATCACTAATATTAACATGGTACATGTAACAAATTAAATATTAATACATGGCAACAGTTCTATATTGTAGTTAATGCAAAACTGGAAAGTATTTGGCAAATATCCTGCTTTAATGCTTTCAGCCATTACGCCCCCAAACTCTGGAACACTCTCCCTCAATCCCTCCGCCTTGCCCCCCCTCTCCCGCCCGAAAACCTTCCTCTTCCACCGTGCTTACGGCCACTCCCTCTCCCCCCACCGGCTCGGAGTCAGGCTCCACCACTGTTAAGCCCTCTGAGATGCTACCCTGCATAGAGGGTGCTACATATGTGCAAATTGTTGTTTGTGCAAAAAAATCACTAAAATAAGATTTCAGCAACTCACCGATGGTGATTTGTAAAGCTGTGTAAAACAGGGCATTGAGTAGAACAGAAGCCTGAAACATTCCAAGTTTGATCCTCTGTCTGTGCTGAGTTAGCCGATCTCACCTGAGAGAACAATATACTGAAGGGGCAGGGGCAATGCGTGGAAAGATCAGTCAGGGATCCCATTTCTTGTCAGATCACTGTCTATTGATCTCTTCTGGAAAGTGTATGAGGACATCAGATGAGCACAGGATCTGGCTGGACTATGATGTCCCCTCTATGGTCAAAGAGTCTGCCAACAATCAGTCTAACTTTGGATTGAACAATGTGCCCTTGACTAAGGTGCTAGAAGGTGGGAAGTGTCGGTAGAACATCTGTGCAACTATATCCCAGCATGTTAGCTCCTTCAGGAGAAAATAGTGGGAAAGAGAAGCAATATATCCTACAATTCCTGAAAAAAAATCCAAATCTGGTAGAAACTCACATTTCTTGAGGCAGTCATTTCGAATCATAAACAGTTTATTACAGGATCACAGAATCCCAGCTTTGAACGAACGTAGGAAGTCCTCAGTAGTCCAGTAATGTGTGGCCAGACATTTTAATGTTAGTTTTAAAAAAAAGATGGTCTACGTGTTGTGGCAGCTGGATTGATGCATACCATGTTAAAAATCAATATGGTACATGGAATGAATTAAATATTAATACCCTGCAACAGTTCTATAGTGTAGTTAACACAAAAAACTGGAATGTGATTGGTAAATTCCCTGTTTTTGTGCAAAAATATAAAATAAGAGATGGAATACGTTTCTGCTTCCCTCTACACAAACTTACTAAAAGTTCAGGATGGAAAGCCTTTAAAATGGCATCATAAATTGCCAAACTTTGGAAAGATGCCATCCATTTTGCCTAGTTATGCATTACATAGAGTGCTTGTGTCTGGATTTAATGGTAGCTAAACCATAAAAAGTAAGTGCAAGCGAATACCTGAACATTTCCATCATGATAAACATCTACCCAAATAGGGCCAATAATTCATGACGTGAACTTTCATTTTGGTTTATGTTTTTAAATAAATTCTGCCTTAAATCCTTTTTTTGCAGTGGATTCCCAAATGTAGAAAAACATCATTTGAAGCAATTTGTAAACAAAAACAAGACCACATATTTCAGTTAAATTTTAGTTAAATCAGTTTTTCAGTTAAATTGTTTTAAAATGTTATAACTCAAAAAGATTTGGATACTCAGTTTAATAGATTACAGAGTGAAGGAACACAAACCGAATCTGCATTTCAGCCACAGACACACATTTTGCTTCATGCAATCAACAACCCTGGAATTCCCTGCTTTTGTCTGACCAAGTCAGCTTGATTCCCACTTTTAGCACCAAATTGGCATTCACCCCAACCCAAAGAACATCCTCAAATAACCCAGCATTGTATTTATATCTAGTCACCTGGATAATTTTTTGGGGGGACAGTTGAGTGTCATACGTATGTAAACCCATCACCATGCTTAAGAATATCCAAACCAAACAGAGTTTGGTCACGTTGTCACGTTTAAAAACCTAAACCATGCATCCCACCAATACGTGGAAATTCCAGAGAGAGATCACCTGGACGAGAAAGTTATCAGGGTTTCATCTGGATTAGTTATCTTGAAAAGTGATGAATTTTCAACAAGCATGATTTTGAGTTCACTAAAAATTTCACTGAATGTACTGTACTACTGGCAATATTCACCATACACATATACTCCAGTTCTGTTCAGGTATTTTATTGTAAATGATTTATAATATATTATGTACGAACATAGTGTATGGCAATACTATGAAGGATTTTACTTTTTGATGACACGTTAAATAAATGAGAAGTCACCATATTTTGATAACTTCTAGGCATTAGCAATTATCGGCTTTCCACAATCACAGTACTTGCTTATAACTAATAGAATTGTACCGATGCAAGTATTGTAGTTTTTCTTTGTGTCTTCCACCAACACTGCTGCCTTATTTTGTATTGTTAACTTAAGATGGAGCATTTAATTAGCATTTAATAAGGTCTTATGTTCAACATATTGCCTGGTCCTCAACTCAAGAACAAAGACATTTCAAGTCAGTTTTCTTGTAGAGAATACATTTCTGAAGAAAACAGGATGAAAAATAAGATCGTACATAGAACAAAATGGTTTAACACTCCATATTTTATTGTACTGTAATTGTGGAACTTATTTATTAAAGACGATTTGCATTTGCTTCTGCTTGCCTCACTAAGTTAGTTTCACATTACTTGCATGTACTGAATATCCATCAGAAACTGCCTAGTGTTGATATTGGGATCACAATCTTGGCCTAGGACTCAAACTAGTTTCTGTGCACATCACGCCATGCTAAAAACACAGAGGCCCTTTACTGCTAAGCTTTTTAGAAAAATCCATCCACATTTGCTGTAAAACAAAGCACAGGCAGAAATACAAAGAACGAGAGGCAAAAGATTTTTATTTCTTTTAGCAATGCTGGTTTGCTTTTCAGAAGTAGGAATCGTACATGATCCTCTCTCAATAATAAGATCTTAATGATAATTGTTTTGTGCTATTACAAAACTTATTTGTAGTACATTCCCCTTGTCATTTAAATATCACAATTCTTACCTATTCATCAAAAACGTGTCTCGATATCCACCATTAACGGCTCTGAAAATGTGATGTACTTGTGGTATTACTGCGAGGATAGGCTTGATCACAAGTATGGTTTACCAAGAGATATGTAGGCACAACATAAACAATTTCTATTCAAGACAGATTTGGTTTCTCTTTTGGGAAATATGAATAGCTAAAGAACTGATTGCAAACACTGAATCTATTGGATGATGTTTGTATAAAAACATCATTGATAAAAATAGAAGAGACGACAACTCAAAAAGAGTTCAAATGTTAAATATTTTAATCATTCAAGCATTTATCTGCTGAATTCTGAATATGCAACAATACGTTTTTAAGCACTCTGAGACGGTACCTTGCGTGGGCGATATATAAGTGCAAGTTGTTGTTGCTGTTGTCACGTTTGCACACTAGTTTCCAGGCTATAAAAATCGAGTCTCGAGGCCTCTAAATTCTAGAATAAACCTTTAATAAGATTAACTACCAATACGACTCGAGTACAATATCTGGTTATTATTATATAAATAGCAAAGTCAAATTTCAAAACCATTATTTCTACATTATTGTATCCAAATTAGTTAACTGAATAAGTTGAACCTTTTTGGCAGATAATACATTTATTTCACTATGAGTACAGATGAAAAATCCCATATTCATTACCAGCATCAGCGCTTTAAAGATTGATCTCCAGCAAGCTGGGTAATAAGCTTAAAATTTAAGAAATGATTGCAAACAAAGCATCAAACAAACTTCCTATCCAAAATATTTTATAGTTTTAAGGCCTTGATAAGAGAATAACATTTTGGCAAGTACTTATTAGCACTTGGAACACTTTGGCTTCAATACACTATTTTTACTTTGTCATTTTTGGTGAGGAAATATTTCTCTGCTGCAAACACACAACTCTTCAATTACAATACAAGGGAATATAAAGTAAATGCCCAAAATAGTATCTGTTATTTCCCAGGAATGTGTTCCTAAAATCATGTTTGCAGCATATAATACAACAATAAATGATAATTTTATGGCATCGTTCACGTCGGGAGGATGGCCCAAAGCACTGGATACAGTATCAAGTTCTTGAACTACTGGGAATACTTTATTCTGAAATTTAACAACAATCCTTGCATTTGATATAGCGCCTTATCACGTCTTCGAGACGTCTCAAAGCGCTTTACAGAGTATACTGTAAAGTGAATTGACTATATTTTGTAGGTGAAACACGGCAGCCAATTGAGCACAGTAGTATCCGACAAACAGTTGTGGATTGAGTTCTTCAGCTTAATGGCCTTAGTTAACGTGTTATATACAAGACAACTTATTAAGCACCAGAAATACATGAACAAAGCATTAGCAGTGTTCTCCACAAAGCAATTGAAGGATGAGTACTTTCAGGGCAAATAAATATTGTTCAGTAATTTTAAGAGAATCGTAATAAAAGTAGGATATATCATCCTTGGCCTCTGAGCGAGAAATGACCTGATCTGATTGAGATATTTTTTTTTGGGGGGTGGGGGGTGGTGGGGGAAGAGGTTGTGTTATAAATACAGAACTGGTTTTACTAAGCCAAATTAAAATTTGTGATAACATTCACTTTTTTGTCACCATTACTTTCGTTCAATTACGGATGACATAATAATAAAAATACCAAGTCAGTTTGTGGAGAATACTGACCTGACCAGGTGCTAAATATTGTACGGGTAAATAAAGTAATACTGCATCAGCCCCTGCCCCCATTTTGTATATTTAAAATGTGTAAGAATAAGACAAAACAATTTTCTTTACTGATCTATGGCCAATGGAAATTCTCCTCTTGGTTCTCAATGACGTCTCATCATTACTCTTGCTTGTCCTCAGTTTCGGGTGGTAGTCCAGGAGAAAATGGTTTCTTATACCAAACCTTGTACGTTCCGTACCAGGCAGCAAACCCAACAGCAGTTCCCAATATTTTATGGGGCAAGTCATGAAAATACACAGCAGTACAGGAAAACATCCATACCCACAGCAGGAGCAAGGCATTCAAAGCAATAAACAGTGATTTAATGATTGTGTCTACTGCTTTTCCTGGCTTTTGCTCCATCTTTTGAAGTTTGTTCATCACAGCTATTTCTTCCACCATTGTCAGTGCACAATACGAGAGTAAGAAGCAATGTCCAGATATGTCAAATCCAAGCCACATATGGCCTCCCTTCCTGCAATCATTCATCTGCTCGAATTTGGGGACAACAGTCATATTCTGCAATTCATAGCATTTGCCGGTGAAGTTTTCTATCACATGGAAGGCTCTTGTACAAAAAAACCAAATAGCAGTTCCTACTACTACTGAACTTGAGCGACGTAACACAAACATAATATTCCTTCCAATAATGTAGTTTGAGGTGAAAATAAAAGGAAGCAGCAGACCCATGGTCCAACCCCATGAAAGTTTGACAAAATATCTGTAAGAAAGTATTTTAAAAGACAACTTTAATAATAAGGTACCATCAAAATATTCTTTCTGTGTTAAATAGCTCTATCAAATTAGTATTTAAAAATGCAATACCTGTTAAGAATGTAAAAAGACCCATTAGGCCCAATATGTCTTTATTAACTCCATCAAATCTCGCAATCCCTTCTCTCTCCAGAAACCTATCTAGTGTTGGAACACATCTACAAGACCAATAGTGTTCCCTTATCCCTCAAGCCTAATTACTCTTTGAGTAAACCAGTTTTATGTCCCCTAGTGTTTCGCTGTAGTAAACTATTAGTCTGGTAATTTAGTCAATCCCCTTCCATATCTTTTTAAAAACGATCAAGGATTATTATCACCATTATTTCTTTATGCCACCAAATGATACTGTATTTTATTACTGTATATTTTTAAAATACAAGCAGCTCAAACATAGACTAGCCATAGAGACAGGCCAGACATTTGAAAGATCAGAATGCAGAAATTTATTTATGGATATGGCATTCAGTCATTTGGCCTTAAGGATCATTTTTAAAGCTGCCATGACCCATTGCTGTGCATTTCCCAGTAGGTACACAGCGAAGGAGGTTAATAGATTTCCTTTCAAGCATTGCCTGCTGTAAAAATATTCACTTTCACAACGGAGATCATTTCAGGGACAGGAACTGTGCTCACAGCACTAACCTCTCCATCAATCCATCCAAAAAAGCAAAAAGCACATTAGATATCTCATCCTCAAATTTTACCCTCACTGAAGTTTCCCTCTGCGCATGTGGGGAGTACAAAGATGTTTTTTGTTCAAACTTCCCAAAACCAATGACTCATGCTCTACGAGCACTGGTACACGCCCTACGCCTGCGGCTCACTAAAGTCCTATTCTTTATGTCGTCAGCCTAGACAGCAAATGGTCCACCGACATCCAATTCAACTGTGTCCACATGTGTAGACTTCCAGCAGGAGGCATGACAATTGAGCCAGATCCTGCCAAGGCCAATATTCACATATGCGGCCTTTAATGATAAATCACGGACAGGAACTGAGTCGATTTTTTTATAAACCCCCTGCCTAGTGCTCCCTTCGCCTCGCTTCCTCCTTTGTCTCATTCAAGGCCGGTCTCAAGACCCTTCTCTTCGACCGTGCCTTTGGTCTCCCTCCCACCTCTCTGCCTTCCCTCACCCCTACGCCGACATCTGACTGTTCAGCGCTTTGGGATGTCCTCCCGACGTGAAAAGCACTCTATGAATATAGTTTTGTTGTGGTGGTTGCTCCCATGGTTACCTACTCCCGCTGATATCAACTAAATCTAGCCAGACCCAAGGATCAAAGCAGAAAACTTTCCAGACCACATAGCTCAGTTCCACTCCCAAGCAGTGCATTTATGCACCTAAAAGACTTGGACGGGCTGATACTGAGAAATGGGATACTTTCCACTCAGCTCCTGTTAACTCTACAAGCCAAAGGGCTAACGGGTAGGGTGGTCCAAGCTGCAAAAACAGCAGGAAGCTTGCCAGAGAGTGCTCTCAATAGTAAGCCAGATTTAGCTGGTTTAAGCCCCAGGAGTACCCCAATGTATACATGCACCCAATGGGGTCCCCTTAGCTCTTGGCAACCTGCACTCAATACTCTCCAGAATTAGGTGATCAGTGTGTGTCCCTCCTCCAGGAAGAGAAGTGTATATTCCATTCCACACACAGGGAAATTTCCACACATAGGTGGCATACACGAGGAACTCTTAATCTGGTTTATAAGCAGTGTTGGGTTTTCGCTCGTGAAAGGCACCGGCTAACCACAATACAAAACACACACCGGGCGATGTTTATGTTTTTTTAATGTTTAAAAAAAATCAAAGCAATTTAAGAATTTGCCAAACCGTACCCGTTCTGAAACGCCCGAGGGAGATAGTGATAGTGTAAACCCTGGTGTCACATGTACAGACAGGCACCTGTCCCCAGCACCTCAGTATTATATACTACACACGTATATAATACTGTATATAAATATATACAATACAGTATGTAAATAATAATCCTTGCATTTGATATTGCGCTTTGCACGTCTTCTCGACGTCTCAAAGCGCTTCACAGAGTATGCTGTAAAGTGAATTGACCGTATATTTGTGGGCGAAACGCGGCAGCCAATTGCGCACAGCAGCGTCCCCACAAACAGTCGTGGGTTGAAAATGACCAATTTTATTATTGTTTTGTTTTTGGAGGGATTATTATTAGGCTCTGTGTGGAGTAAGGAAACTTGCCCAAGGTTTGGCCCTCTGCCTGGAATTGAACACAGGTCTCTCACTTGCGAGGCGAGGGCTCTAACCACTGAGCTACAGGACTCCTATATAAATATATAATATACTGTATATAAATATATATCAAATATACTGTACGTATATATCATACTGTATATAAAATATACTGTATATAAATATATGCATTATATACATATATCATTATACACAGTATTACATACCAGGCGCTGATTCGCTGCTGGAGCTTATAATGCTGTAGCTGGTGATGATAATAATAATAATAATCTTTGCATTTGATACAGCGCCTTATCGCGCCTTCGAGACGTCGCTCAAAGCGCTTTCGCAGGACATACTGTCGGGTGGAGTGACTGTGTGCATTCGCGTGGGCCCAAAGCGCGGCCGCCAACGGCGCACGGCGGCGAACCCACAAACTGCGGGACACTGACTGACCAAATCAATCATCATCATCATCGTAATATTATTATTATTAATAAATTATTATTAACGAAGGGATTATGGGTTAAGTTCAGGTGCGGCCTCTGTGTGTGTGTGTGTGTGTGTGGGGGGGGGGGGGGGGGAGAGATGGGGGGGAATGCCATCCTCCCCTCCACCTCCCCCTCACCCCAGGCACCTGCTCCCCACCAAAGGTCACCCCCAGCCCCTCACCTCCAGCCACAGGCCTCCCTCCTCCCCTCCCTCTCACCCCCCCTCCTCCCCTCCCTCTCACCCCCCCTCCTCCCCTCCCTCTCACCCCCCCTTCTCCCACCCCTCCTCCCCTCCCCCCTCCTCCCCTCACCCCCTCCCCCTCTCACCCCCCCTCCTCCCCTCCCCTCTCACCCCCCCCTCTCCCACCCCTCCTCCCCTCCCCCCTCCTCCCCCTCACCCCCTCCCCCTCTCACCCCCCCCTCCTCCCCTCCCCTTCCTCCCCTCCCTCTCAAGCCCACCCTCCTCCCCTCCCTCTCACCCCCCCCTCCTCCCCTCCCCCTCCTCCCCTCACCCCCTCAGCCCCTCCCTCTCACCCCCCCACTCCCTCCTCCCCTCTCTCTCTCCCCCCTCCATCCTTCCCCCCCCCTCTCTCCTCTCTCTCTCTCCCCCTCTCTCTCTCTCTCCCCCCTCTCCCTCCCCTCTCCCTCTCCCCCTCTCTCCCCGCGAACAACTCACAGGTTGAAGACATTCCGCCGGTTGGAGAAGTAGGTGTCGGGCAGGAGGCCTCGGGCTTTGGCCAGGGAGCCGCCGAGGGCGAGGAGGGCGAGGAGCAGCGGCAGGTGGCGGCGGAGGCCGCGGCGGTGCAGAGAGACCAACGGCCGGACCCAGGCCTCCATCTTGTCCGCCGGGGCAACGGCCCGACCTCTTAAAGGCCACGTCCCCTCCCGCCAGCCCTGGCTCCACTGCGCCGAAGCCGGAGCTGTGACTTCCCCTTTAAATCCCCCCCCTCCCCCCCCCACCTGCTCCTCCTCCACAAGGGTTCAAGTTTTTTTTTGGTGTCAATTCAACCGTTTTTGGTGACAAATTTTTTTTTGGTGACCGTTCCGTCTTTTTTTGGTGACAGTTCGTCTTTTTTTGGTGACAGTTCATTTTTTTTGGTGACAGTTCATCTTTTTTTGGTGACAGTTCATTTTTTTTGGTGACAATTAAGCCCTTTTTGGTGACCGTTCATTTTTTTTTGGTGACAGTTCATTTTTTTTTGGTGACAGTTCCGTCTTTTTTTGGTGACAGTTCATTTTTTTTTGGTGACAGTTCATTTTTTTGGTGACCGTTCATTTTTTTTTGGTGACTTTTCATTTTTTTTGGGTGAGTTTTTTTTTGGTGACCGTTCCGTTTTTTTTTGGTGACAGTTCATTTTTTTTTGGTGACAGTTCATTTTTTTTGGTGACCGTTCATTTTTTTTTGGTGACAATTCTTTTTTTTTGGTGACAGTTTATCTTTTTTTGGTGACAATTCATTTTTTTTTGGTGACAGTTCATCTTTTTTTGGTGACAGTTCATCTTTTTTTGGTGACAGTTCATCTTTTTTTTGGTGACAGTTTATCTTTTTTTGGTGACAATTCTTTTTTTTTGGTGACAGTTTATCTTTTTTTGGTGACAATTCATTTTTTTTGGTGACAGTTCATCTTTTTTTGGTGACAGTTCATCTTTTTTTGGTGACGGTTCATTTTTTTGGGTGTCAATTAAGCCCTTTTTGGGGCCAATGACATTTTTTTGGCGACGATCGAACTTTTTCGGCGAACTTTTAATTTTTTTGGTGACAATTACATTATTTGCGGTGACAAGTAAAGTTTCTGGACGACAATTGAACTTTTTTTTTGTGACGAACTTCTTTGGCGACAATTAANTTTTTTGTGTGATAACAACTTTTGCGGTGACGATTAATAACGATCATTCACATGAAAAAACAGTTCAACTTTAACAGCAATAATAATCCTTGCGTTTGATGTAGCGCCTCATCAGGTCTTTCAGAGACGTCTCAAAGCGCTTCACAGGATATACTGTAAAGTGAATTGACTGTAGTTGTGGGCGAAACGCAGCGGTCAATTGCATCCAGCAGTGTCCTGCTATATAACACAACATACATAATATATGTTATGTACAGTATATATATACACAATATATATTATATATACAATGTACAATATATATTATATACAACATATATCATATATTATACACTATACATATACAAAAGTTTCCAGTATGAGAAGCGCATCAAAGAGCACTGTGTCACAATCTCATACTCAGCACTCAACAAAATACTCACTACCCCAAAAGGCAATGCACTACCCCAGAGCTCTTCCTTAGTTGCTTAGTGACCTGTGCCGTTACTTTACTTAGTGAGGTTGTCAGATGATTTTATACAATATTAAATCTCCAGCCTTTTTGTTAAATGAGACAATATTTTTTTAAAAAATTGCCACAGAGGGATGTCGGCTGTTTGAGATGTTAACCTCCCGCCTCCTTTGCGCCTAATTTCTCAGTAGTTCTACCAATGGTGCGGGAGTCTCAAGAATAGAAGCTCAGACATCGAAGAACTCTTCCGGCAAACATCATCCGATTCGATGAATTTTCTTCCACTTTGCTGCATTTGCCTACAAAATGCAGTCGCTACGCGTTAACAGCAAATCCTGCAAATCGCTTTGAGACATCCTCCCAACGTGAAAGTCGCTTTGTCATTTGTAACATTAATTATTTATTATTTGAAAATCATAGAGTCTGAGTGACTCACGAGCACCAACAGACTATCATCCACTGAGAGAGCAGGCGATGCCCCAGCTATTGTTTTATGTGCAACATAATCTGACATCCAACAGATGGCACTGCAAAAAAAGGAACAATGGCTTAAATACTGTTTGGTGACCTGATGAGGGATCAGTAGTTATTGTATAATGGAATTTTCCATTTTAGGCACACAACAAAAGATTTGCTACGCTTAGCGAACAATGCATTGTCATTGCAGTGCACTGGTGTTTAAACAGTGGACGAATGCAATTTTAGAGAGTTCCCTTGACATTCGAAACACACAACATTCACCCAACTTAACCTGCGTTCTCCCCGTTACAAAGGTTGTGTGAAGCAAGCAAGCAAGAAGAAAAACACAAAAAACAGCGAGAGTAAATCTAGACCCAAGTTGAATTTCGCCCTCCTGGTTGAGCACTCATCAATAGTCGGAATCAGTGTTTTGGTCTTGGTTTGGCTCAGTGCAAACTGACTCAAAAAATATTCATTTATAAGTTAGATCCATATTATGAATTAATGAGCAAAGCACTCACCCAATTTCCTGTTTGTTCCATATAAATGTATTTGTACATCTACTTTTTTTTTACTAAAAATTTGCCCAAGTCAGTTAGCCTCTACAACAATTGTCTTTGATCTGAATTCTATCAATCCATGTATCAGAGCGGATTTCAGAGCACTTCAGGTCCTAAACCAACATCTTTTAGTTTAGATCCAAGAAAAAGCATTTCATGTCTTTTTGTACTTTTGGTTCAGACAGGAATTCCTAATATTACCATAGCACAGGGGTGATTCTCTGATCTTCAATAAAATGGCATCTAAATCTTGTCCAGATTGCCAAAGAGACGAAGAAAGCAGAAGACTACAGTTTAAATTAAATACAGTTAAACACTTCCAATTATAATGTGGCATTTATTTTTAATAGCAGTTATCAGGGCTCAAAAGCCACGATAAAAAGATTGATGTCTGAAGCATTGAGTGGCTTAAATGCAATTTTATTGAATGAGGTAGTGATTTATGACAGTGGTTCGTATAGTATTAGGGGCACTATCATGGACTTTTCACTCATGTCAATGCTATAACCGTAGCATATTTCTTCAGTATATATCAAAAGACAAGTTAACACTGGCAATTTAACAACTCTGAGCTGTGTGTACTTTATTGATGTGAAATCACAAACCAATTCCCACGCTGAAATAGTTTTTTTCTCCAAAGCTGTCATCTGAACACCTGAAGAGTGACACCCTGTTTGATTTATAATGGAGATTTACGGAGTCAGAAAGCAAACACTGCCCTGGCTCAAGTGTTCTGTGGGTTTACTGTGACATTTCTGATAGCAATAATATTGCACCTAAGGTTGAAAGGAGAAGACTTTCATTTTCTCATCCATTCTGACTGTGGCTCCTTTGATGCATAACTTTCACTCAGCTTTTATGACAAGAATGTTTTTTTGCAGGCCAGTGAAAATTTATACTGGTGAAGTGCTCGTCATATAAAACATATCGCTTTATTTCTTGCCATCTTTTTCTCTGGAAAAAGAAAGTATATGGAGCCCAGATCATAAGTGGTAATAAAAGACAGAATTGTTTTTGAATTAGGTATACTGCATGTCAAAATACCAACTATAGTTTGTGTATTTACTTTTACGAACCCAAGCTTTGCCTCTTATCAATCTGATGAGCTGCTTTTCAGCTTAATGTCAATAAATAGTTAAGCAGCTATGAATCTTATAATTGTGCGTCTCTGTAAATCAATGTAAATCCTATCAGACAGAAACATGTATAAAACAGTAATTGTTCGACATGGATGGCTGGCAGCTTCGAAGTGTTCATTAAAAGTAAAAGTCTACAATTATGGCAGTTAATGAAAGCGAATTGCTGCTGCTGCCAATGTGAACTGAACTGAAATCTTTCAGACATGTTAATTTTTATGGCAAATCTCCCGAACTGCTGTCACTAATAGAAAGAATCAGAGCACACATTTACTTACTGCATTAACCTCACTTATTATTATAGTATCAAACAAACATGGTTATATTATTACAGCATAACTTCTAACTTATTTTAATAAACAGGGTAGCAGTCACATTTTGTTACCTGGAAAACTCTAAAGAAACTACTTCACTGGAAATGACATTCAATAATTTACTGCCTATTACTTTTGGCAAACTAACTTTGGTTACTGATGCATCCAGCAGAGAACAGCACAAGACACTCATACTTCAAACTACTAAATCCGTACAGATGTGTCCAATGGAATAGACTCTAATGTAGAACAAGGGTGGAGTTTGTAAAACTTGAAATGTGGCTGCCAGAATAGGGGCTTTCTGTTAAAATACTGACAATCTTTGGGACAAGGCCATCTTGGCTTTGTATCATTGTGGGAAAAACTTCAAATAGGTCTTCAGTAATATTTATTTTATTTTCTCCGAAGTAAAACAACAGGGCTTGGGACTGTTAGTTTAATTTCTTGCTAAGAGAGCACAGAGTAGACACTACAGCATTGCAAGGGGCTTCTATAGTATGTGAATGGACAGAAGAGTGTCTAGACTTCAAGAATTGATGTCATAGCACCAGGACCTGTTGCCACTAAAATAAATGTCTGGGGTGTATCCTTTTGACTTTGATTTTGGCAAAGTTGATAGAGAACAATCCCACAGATTGGCTTTGAATTTGAGAAATAATCATTAAAATTATTAAAATTATTAACAGCCTATTTCTTCTGTCTTTGGGGGGAAAAAACGTCAATCTTGGGACTGTAAAATCAGTCTATTCACACATAACTTTGAATCTTTATGCCAGGCACTTTGTATTGCAGCAAAGTAATCTTTTAGTTTCAGTATTTTGAGTTATATGCTGATACTGAAACTGCATTTTTGCCTCTTTTTGACTCGCTATCTGAACATTATTGCTTGTATATACTTCCTATCAATATTTGTTTCAATTAAAAAATCTACATGCTATTTAAAATAGATTAATATCCTGCTATAATGTTCTATCCTTCATTGTATGATCAACCTTTAAAAAGTTTAAGATGAGTATTGAAAGTTCAACCTGAAATTTTTTTTTTTTAAAAAAACATTTGTAGCAAAATGTTTTTATGCTTTAAGGCTTATTTGCCCAAATTGTCAGATAACAGCTTGTCCTGAAATATGCACCATCA